TGAATACAGTACTCCCTGATGCTGGCATGCTCTGAAGGACATGAAACAATGCAATAGTTATTGCAAACAATTATAATTCAAGAAAAGGCCCTGTGTTCTGTAGTACTCTTATGTATTATCCAAGAACATGTTTATTGGTCATTACAGGATGTAAAAAAATATACAAGTGAAGAAATGTTTCATCATTTGATAAATAACAATGAAAGTAAAATTATGTTATAGGAGGCGGCGTGGCCGAGTGGTTAGGGTGCTGGACTTGTAATCTGGTGTCCCAGGTTCAAGTCCTCCACCCTGCCACTCACTGGATTTGTTCTCAGTTGCCCCCAGTTCAACTCCTTGGCTGCGATCTGTAAATAGCCCACTGGTTTGCCTCCTGCCAGTGGGGATTTTTAAACTCTTCGTTAGTCTACATTGTGGCTGAAAAGCCCCAGAGAGGGAGCTTCAATTAACGCATATCATTATTATATTATTTGACAGGTAGGCAGCCTATACCTGTACCAAATAGGTGTGAGAAGGGGGTGTCTATTACAATGATGACTGATACCCAAGACTTTGAAACTACTTGGATTTTTACTGAAAGAGTTAAAAACATGGCTAAATTCTTCCTTGAAAGTCAAATAAAGCAATTTGGCAAGGATCTTCTATGCATAGTTCGAGGAAGGCATTTTCACAATATGAAGACCCTATCAATTTCATCTCTCCGACAGTCCAACAAAGCTTTTGAGTATGTTTTCAACTTTGTTGGTAAAATAGTCCTTAAGTCTCAAGTCTTCGTTCTTGAAACACTCATGAGAGGGTCTGATTTGCATGTACCACGGATGAACTCTGCAGTCTGCATTTGAACAGACATATGAACAAGAAAATATAACACAGCAAGATTCTAGAACAGCCCCATACTCCATTAAACATACACATATTGGATTAGGAAAACAATGGTGAAAACAAGACTGCCTTAGAGACGTTGTCTAAAACAGAATTGGGCTGTGCAGAAATCTTACCTATCTTGGTTGAATTTGAGGGTATTTCAGATTATCGTTTGTTCTGAACTGAATTTGACATACATGAAGAGTTCAAGAAGACTTGAAGCGTAAGCTACAAATGAATATTATAATAGATAAAAGGGAAAGGCTGATTTACAAAGCGCTACCATTCTCACGACAATAAAAACAGCCCGATCTACTTCTAATGAACCTGATGAGGAATACCTTGCTATGTTATTACTTGTATTGAGCTAGAAAAATGGAAATCGGCGTTCCTGAAAGAAGTAGCTAGCAAGAAAAATTTGGTCTGACGCGAGTTCACGTTCAACCGACTACTCAGGGAAATGTACCTAAAAAAAAAATTATCAAGGCAGTGTTAGGTTATCACTACTTGCTGAAGAGGTATGACGATAGTCAAGCCATGAATTTAAAACATACCGGTTCTTGTCGCCACAGAGTTTGGTGAAGCCATCTCGCATTCACGTGAGATTCAAAATGATGGGGATAACAGCACCACATGATTATTTTAAGTTTTGAAAAGGGTTTATTCGCCTGTGACCGAAACAAGTTGCATGTTGTATCTGATTACAGTGAAAACGCTCGCTAAATAAACAACTGTAAAGTTTTAGCTGAAAATATATAGCTGCCCATTTAAGGGCAGAAGAGCCCCTGGGGACATTGTCTTACAAGACTAGTTCAAAACGGTCGCTGTCGTTCTGGGATCTGATTGGTGCCAGAAAATCTTTGTGTTTTTCTGCCCAATCAGAGGGAAGTGTCGTTTGGAGTCCTTTCGTGTGTTTTAACACGCACATAT